ATGCAGTTAAGAAAGAGTAGTAGGTTGGTTTCGCTCACTGGAATTAAAGTGAGATTCATTTAGCAGAATACTGCCCAGTGGTAGAAGGCTTGATCAGAGAACCCTTAATGTTCCCATACTGCCCTGGTCTGGGCACTGCAGTCTGACCTCTAGGGAAGTTCTTGCATCTTGACTGTAGCTTCAGATAACCTAAAACTGGCTTCTTTTAAGGCTATAGCTGCCTAGCCCCAGCCATTTTCCTGTGCTTGCTTATTCCCTTGAGACCCTGAGAAGATGTTTTTTGACACCTGGTGGTGCTGCTAGCCTTTTGATTAGGAGGTACCTACCTTCTGTGATGTGAACCTTTCAGGAAGGGAGATGTGTTTTGATGCTTCTTATAAGTCAGGAGCAAGAGCTGACTCTGCCTCCTAGGTACACTCAGATGTCTCTCAAAATGCATTCAACAAATACTTAAGGCATATGTATACATGTGAAAACGAAACAAAATTCATGAGACTGGTAATTTGGAGAGAAGGAACAACACAGAAGTGTTGATATTTTTATGTAGAGCACTTAACACAGTTTTAAACATTGAATGGTACCCAAGCCTGGGTCTCTATAGACATTTCATGCTTAATTGATTCAGCCACCAAGCACCACATTCCCCTAAAGCAAATCCAGTGTAACTTTGTACATAATTCTCACTATCGTAAGAAGGACCAAGAGCGGGGCTCAGTGCCTCAGCCTGTAATCCCAGCACCTTGGGAGGCTGAGGCAAATAGATTGCCTGAGCCCATGGGTTTGAGACCAGCCCGGGCAACTTGGCGAGACCTCATCTCTATAATTTTTTTTTTTTTTTGAATTGGAGTCTCTGTTGCCCAGACTGGGCCACCGCAGCCTCGCCTGCTGGGCTCCAGCAATCCTTCCGCCTCAGCCTTCCAAGTAGCTGGAATTACAGGCATGCGCTACCACGCCCAGCTGATTTTTTGATTTATTGTAGAGATGAGGTCTCGCTGCCCACGCGGGTCTCAAACCCGTGGGCTCAGGCAATCCACTCACCTCAACTTCCCAAAGGCACGAGATTACAGGCTGAGCCACCAAGCCCGGCTTCATCTCTATAATTAAAAAAAAAAAAAAATCTGGGTAGTGCGCTCCTGTAGTTCCTGCTCCTTGGAAGGCTGAGGCGGAAGGATCGCGAGAGCCCAGCAGGTCGACCCTGGGATGACCATGAGCGTGCCACTGCACTCCAGCCTGGGCAATGGAGTGAGACTCCAACTTAAAAAAAAAAAAGGCCAGGGATGGATTCTTCAACCCTTAGAACACTTGTTGCCTGTTCCAAATCTAGGGGCTTTACCTTTGAGATGGCAGGGATTCTATAGAGGATAGAGTTCTAACTGTTGTACTTACCACCCTTTATAGGTCAGGAAACAGCAATCAAATGTTAAGCATCTTAGCCAAAAGGCAGGAGAGCTGTTTGGGAACCCCTGAGCTCCCTATCTCCTGAGTGCTTCCTGATGATGCGTGACACCAAGTGCTGAAGTCTCCATCTATCTCTGCATGGAATTCAGTCATCGTTGTGTCTTGTGTGTTTACGACTGAGCTACTGTACAGGGCGGCTTGTGAATTAACGTTTTTAAAATGAGCATTTAATGTGTACAAGTTGTCAGGCATTGGGACTGCAAAGATGAGTAAGGCAAAATTCTGGAAGCAAGGTGCTCACAAGCCCTTTGGTGGCTTTTTTGAACAACTCTTCAATTTCTCTTAATTTTCCTAAAGGAAGAGTTGTCACCCTGCTGGTCACTCGTCACTCTCCAGATCCTGGGCCATGTGCCTTCCTCCTCCCCACATGCACACCCGATGGCAAGACTTGCTAGGTATCTGGGGCAGACTGACTATCTACCTTGATAAGAAGAAGTAGGAAGCAATTAGTATATCAGCGTTTATACTTTTAGTTCTTAATCGTGGAATGGAAATGTGAATTACCTCCAACTAGACATGTCAGGAACACCCAGGGTTGAAATTTGGCATCTTCTAAGTGAACCTTATCAGGCAGAAGTATGCTGGTAAGTATTGAACAGCCAGCATAAGGGGTGGGGGAGGGGATGTCAGAGAAGGAATCTCCATATTGACCATGACCTGGGGTCTGCCATTCTTGGACTTTTCTGGAGTGGCACAGGCTACTCGCTACATGTGGTGATTGAGTACTTGGAATGGAGATAGTCTAAATGGAGATGTGCTGTGAGTGTAAAATATAGGATTTTGAAAGATTTGGTAAGAAATGTTTTTTACATAGATTACATTTGAAATATTTTTTTAGGTTAATATTGAAATCTAGTTTGCCTGTTTCTTTTCACTTAAATATTTTTTGATTTTCAACATAATTCATGGGTTCGCATCTTTTTTTTTTTTTGAGTTGGAGTCTCACTCTGTCGCCCAGACTGGAGTGCAG